CGGGCGATAAATATGATAACTTTGACATATATTGAAGGCGAATACTTGCCTCTGGTAGCTGAACGAAACCCAACAACGAAATGCACGTGGTAGAGGGAAATGATGCATACCCAATCGATAACTCGGACCTACGACCAATGGTCCTAGGTTCGAAGTACCTGTATGGTCGCCGACCATCTACTTCACAGTCACACATTTCATTCTATTCTCCCTAGCATCGATGTCCTCAGCGGGACAATACCCTACATCAAGTTTTTCCAAAACCGTTACCCCATGTCATCCTCCTCCGCAATCGCGTGTTATTCTAAGCCCGCCTCATGAATGCACTAGTTAACACAACAACAACAAAACTGTTGAAATATAATGATGTTACGTCGTTAACACTACATAAACTTACTCTCTTCCCCTTTACCTGACCATACAAAACAATCACCCCGTAATATACCTCCGTTCGCCCTACTTGTGAACTTGCTCTCTGTCGGCTCCACAAGTCCTCCTCCTTTCTCCAGTTGTTCTTTTTGTTTCTTCAGCATGTCCATGAAGGTCTACAATGTAGCGCATAACAACAGTCACTCAGCTACAAAGTCGGACGAATATATGTTCGCTTTCCCCAACCGAGCGCAGGACTTTCCTCACTAATTATGGGAGAGAAACCAATTAGAACTTCCCAAAATTTCCATACTGTCGCCGATACATGCATTTGACCATGTGCGCATTTTCCACATTGCTGAGCAAAGTCGAATCAATCACCTGTGTGATCTGAGCCTCTCGGTTAGCCTTCTCCTCGAATTTATACAGCGCCAGAGCTCGCTTTTCTTCAGCGCTATAAATCTAACATTAAAATATGCCCTAACCGGGATTCGAACCGGAGACCTGAGCTCACCTGATTCTCCTTCCGAATACGGACAGCGTTCATTCGCCTATGCCGACTGCCGGACATGACGTAACCCACGGACTCCATTTTCTCTATCTCATCCGTTGACATTCCAACCTCACCTGAACTCTAAATTCACAACGGAAAGCAGTAGTCTTATAAATGCATTTTGTCTACCATAATTCCTCCAAATCGTTTACATCGGATTTTACTTCGGATGCGAATGTCAATTTTCATTAATTTTCATCTTTTTTTCTGATTTTTCTGCGGGTAACAATCCTACCTCTTCGTGGGATACGCTGTCCCTCCGCTACATAACTCGCCATAGCCTCACCCTCACCCGGTCGCAACGCCTTGCCGTAACTGAATCATTTCAAAATTATTTCGCGCGCCACGAAATTCAACTTACTCGATTCCTCCATGAGGTTTAACACCCCCCAAAGCATCAGTGCTAGCCAACATAGGCCTTGGCCCGAAGCCCTCGTCTTCATCTTCACTACTCTCCTCATTCGACCTACTCCCAGCCGGTTGGAATACCGTGGACGGTACGTCTACTTTCTTTTCTACCCACTCGTATCTGTCGAGAATAGATGAGAAAATTACGGTATTAAATATATCCGCATATTCACATTCCCACATTCCCCAAAATTTAATCCACGATATATGTCGCTATTTCTATAATAGACATTTTGCACTTTTTGAAAAATTTATTTTCGGAGACTTTTCGAAATACAGTTTAGGGATATATGTTCGCTTGCCTCAGCTGAGCTCGGGGGGTTCCTCACTCACATACATGAACAGCAATAATTTCCCCAAAAAAGTTTCATATTGTCACCAACACATGTAGTTGACCATGTGCATGTTTACTCCCACACTGCCGAAACCGTTCACAAATATATCGGAGTTTCACCCATGACGAAGGAACAGAATCATATTCCACGACTTCTGCATATCAGCGCTACTATCGCGTTTTTCACCCAGTTTTACGCCACTTCACGTAAAACGAGTTGTGAAACTCCATCAAATTTTTCCCAAAAACACTATAGGTTTCTACACGCGACCAACTCCTCCTCGTTCGCCTACCATACCTACCCCGAATCCTCCTCATCTGGCTCAGCCTTCACCACAGGTGCCTCCTCCTCCTCTTCTCCAGAACTAGACGATATGGACCTCTCACGATGATGGTGACGATGATGATGATGATGTTTCTTCTTATATCTAGTATATCAACTTCACCACTGTGGAAAACAGCATCGCTCCGCTCTACTTTTTTTCATGTTTATGCCTCCGCCTTTTTTCCTTGCGGTGATGCCGACTATGCCGACGTTCGGACTCACTGCTTTCCCCATCCGATGAATCTTCTCTCGATCTACTACGTTTCCGTGGCGACTTATATTTTGGGTCCATCGCGCGCTGGACCTAGCGAGAAAATATATTCCCCAAATATGTACGATGGAGATCCACCCTAGTGATGTGAAAAACACATTTCATTAGCGAAAAACGCATATGAGCGGCGAATAACGCGTAAAACACGTGAAATGATGCGAGTTTTCACGTGAAACCGGGCCATTTGTCGAGGGGTTGTCAATTCACTTCATACCGCGCGAATATCGCGTTTTTCACATGGAGTCTTACCGTAAGACTCTTACGCCACTTCACGTTGAACGGGTGGAACTCCTATAACAACGTTTAGGAAAGAATGCGATAGATATAAAAGGGTAGCTTTATATCACTAGCAATTCACCCTAGTGATGTGAAAAACATAAATCTATTCTAATATGGATTTCAAAATTATAAATGCTCTATTTATATTCTTTATTGGAGTTTCACAACGTGATATAAAAACACTAGTGAGAAAACATATTTCACGACTACTGCATATAACCGCGGATATCGCGTTTTTCACAGAGTATCACGCCACTTCACGTAAAACGGGTTGTGAAACTTCATTATAATGCGTCCCAATCTTATTGCACCATATACGTCGCCTATGAAACGGCTGATCGATTTCAAGAATCTTACCGCAGAGTGGAATCTCTCCTCCCGCTCCTTCTCTTCCTTGGATCCTGAAAACATGAGAATACAACTACTACACTGAAGTTTCACCCTAGTGATGTGAAACGACTACTGCAAAACGACGCGAATATCACGTTTTTCACGCCACTTCACGTAAAACGGGTGAAACTCCAATGATCATTCACTAACACACTAGCATGATTATAATCACACTAATGACGAGGAAGCTCAGAGAGGCTCATAAACAGCTGATATATACAAAAACAGCGAAGTTGAAATTTCCCATTCCTCCGGGTCATTCGAATCCTTATTGGAGTTTCACCACCCTAGTGATATGAAAAACACTAGTGATGAATATATTTCACCACTGCTGCATGTCACCGCGAATATCGCGTTTTTCACCGAGTTTCACGCCACTGCACGTAAAACTCCATTATAGCCATATGATTTTTCGACACATACATACCACACCATTACTACTTCTCGTATCGATCTTCAGAGCCTCGTCACTGCCGTCCTCCTCCTCCTCACTCGATGGTAATGGACCGGCCTTGCTCTTGGCGCAGGTTCGATCCTCAGCGAGGATCATCTCTGCTATTTCCCGCCCGGAATGACCACTCCATCGCTCCTCCATCCCTATGGAACCGAACCAATGAGGAAATGCACCCGTGCTGGATAAATATATGTTCGCTTTCTTCAACTGAGCTCGGGAATTTTCTCACTCATTATGGGTCGACTTCGGGTAGAAGTGTACGAAAATTCTCCAGAAATTTCTTCACATTTTCATATTGTCACCAACACATGTAGTTGACGTAATAAATTCACTATGAAATTGCCTCCGCACTACTTTTCTCCAGCCATTTCCGATCCGGCTCCCTCCCCCTCCTGTGATGGTTATTATCATCATCATCATGATACCCTCGTCGGTCTCTGCCGAATTCATCATAATCTGAACTGTAGTAGCTCCGACGCTCTGAAGAGCTTCCATCACCACGGTAACTTCCCATTGAAAGGGGAGGAGAACTACTGAGGAATTCAGGATTAACCTCCAGCTGAAGTATGAGCAACCGAAGGGCGCGGGATTCGATCGTTTCTCCGGTTGTCTGTAAGGCTAACGCCCTGGGCGTCGTGAAGGCTCTGGCAGAGTATAACGCACGCTTGACGCGAGAGCTATGATCCTTGCCATAATGAATGAACATTGATAGCATTCAAGTATCACCGATGACTGTCAGAGCTGCAGAGGGGAGGTTCTATGTGTGAGCCCCCTTCAGACCCTTACAAAGAGCCTGCATACGGGGGTGTCCGCATTCGAACCAGATAGCAATATCTTGCACTAAACATTCGCTATCAGAAAACCTACAACTCAGCTCAGCTCAACTCAGCGAGGGGACTTACATGCTGTAAAACTCATCTCCCCGTATGGTGATCCAAGATATAGAATCGCCTTACTGTTGAGCAACTCCCTACTTGTCCGCCACGCAGGAGAAAAATGATTGAAAAGTCACCTTGCCGCGGATCGAACCTGCGACTCTCGTGAAACCAAACTTGCATACTCGAAAGTCCTTGAATATTTCTCAACGCTCATGAACAGCGCACTTTCCACGGCCTCGGGGCCGAGTGTCCGCACAATCCGGGTCGAGTGTCCGCACCCGCGGAAGGTGTGCTTAAAACCTTGGAGTAGGCGGGCCTCCGGCCCGCCGTTACCCAAAGATCCTTCGGG